CTTTGAAGAATTTTTCAATCTCCAAACTTTCTCTATGTAAGAATAAATAAAAATTGCTGAAGTCAAAGTCAACAGTTTATTATAAATACAACTGCTACTAGAATAACAACTTTCATCCACGTTTTATATATCTAATGATAAATACTCGCATACTATCCCGATGAAATTTACTATAGTCAGCATAGAAAATTTCGAATCTCAATTCATATTTTAATTTCTGGCGATATTTATCTTGTCTATCGATAATTATTGTTCAAGCTGCTTCAATTAATATAGATGTTAATAGACTATTCTGTTTCAATGCTAGTATTGAATTTTTCATTTGAGTTGCAATTGATTGAAATTCTGTAGCAAGACGAGCAACTTTTGCAATGCGACCATTGCCGAATAATTCATTCGCTCTGATATATCAGATTGAAGAGTGTCCTGTTGAGCATTCAACTAAGCTATTTCAAGTATTCATCGCCGAGACAAATCAACGTCACTTTCAGCAGGATAAGAATGAACAGGTTGAATAAGCAATTTTGGTTCACTAGAATAGACAAAAGAAAACGAAGTGTTCTAACGTAATAAATCAAATAAAAATCTTAATGGGTAAATTATAGTTTAAAAATAGCATTTCTGAATGCAACCGTCATTTTTACCGTGAATCTCAAATGTTATCATCGATAATTTGAGTAAAGTTGATTATTACTTCAACTTGAGACCATAATGAAATCATTTTTGAACAAGAAAAAGAATACTATTGTTTTCTTTTTAATATGAAAATAAAAAGTTTCTTTTTAATTTAATTCAGACTATTTTACTAACCTACTTGAAAATAACATTGGATCATTCGGAAATTTTGCCCGATAGGTAATGATGCTCGATCTGTAGAAGGTATTGCTGAATGAATTGAAATACAAGTCAATGTGCCACATAGAACCTTTGCAAAGTGTTCTCGACAAAGACAAGAATCGATATAGATTTCAAATATTCTTTGGAATATATAATGTGTTGAATGTAGGTATAGTAAAAGGATATCAATAGCACTATTACATGCTAATTCAGCTTCTTCAAATCATCCACGTATCAATAACTTTTAAGCACGTTTATAAAGAGCATAAGCTGTAAGAAAATAATGTGTTGGAATTCTTCGAACATAATCACGTTGACTAATAGGTTTAATTGTTATCACATATTCTATTAATTCAGATTCAATGGTTGTTATTAGTGGTAAAATGGAGTCAACATTTGATTTTATGTAACAACAACCCATTTTATACTCATTAAAGAAAAGTAAATGATCTAAAAATGAAGAAGATAGCAATTATTATTCGTTTTTCAAAATCGCTGTGTAAGGAAGAAATTGCTTTGAAAATATTTTAATACCAATCAAAATGGTTAAGCTTTTCGTGATCTGTGAATCAACCGATGATCTATCTAAAAATTATAATGAAAGAAATTCTCAATTAGACTTTAGATTTGTGGAAGTGTACAGATGAAGAATTTCTAATGAAAATGATGAAGGCTTCACTGTTGTACCTACCATGAGTGTTCTGATGTGTTTAGTTACTAAAGTCTCAGAAATCGTGTGTCTGTATGATCAAAATAATGCAACAACATCAATAAAAGAAAGGCATTGAATAGAACTATATGTATATGGATGATTTAGTTTTTGCCATATTATTTTTTTTTGAGATCTATGTCACATATACATTATAATCTATAGCGAATGAAGACAAACATGCAGGAATTTACCAGTTTACACAAGCTCTATTATTATACACCTGCAACATATCATCACTCACTTTTCAATGTTTATTTTCGTTAGTAAAGAATACCGATAAGTTTGGATCAATAGAACTTAATTAATAACCAAATAAATGTAGAGATAGTATTGATTAATGAAACGAACATTTAGACTAATGCCCTATCGACTGTCGGTATCCAGTGAATATAATGTTTTAAAAAACTAAAAATTACAAGTAACTCTCATCAATACTGAAGTACAAGATAAATACTAGAGACACCTGAAGACTTTCTAATGATATCAAATTTGGTCTTCGTGTTTATGAAAAAAAAGCCGATTTTTGTTTCCGGGGTTCGTTGAAATTTGTTGTATGGCTACACTATTATATCAAAGCACACTTTTTTGTTATCATATTATTTGCGAAACTCAATTTTTACTCTCAAATTATAATTGAATGCATGTAGAATTCTCTTTGTCATGTATAGATGGGTGAAAGTGTGAATTTGAATGTAGGTTTTTGCTATCTTCAAATGCAGCACATCTACATCCACACTCTCCTATAGTCAAAAAGTAACAATGACAATCATCGATGATAAAAAATTGAAGAATATTTTAAGGACTACAATATCAATCGATATCTTATTGAGTATGCTACGTTTGAAGATAGCAAAAAATTATATTCGAAATCACATCCACACCCGTACTGCAAAATGTTCTGATAAACTACAGAGATTATATTCTGTCTGCAGATATGGCGAAAAAATCTACTAGATTCCCTTGTTTTAATGATTATTAAAAACGCCTTTGAATGTAATCAGCATTGACGTCAGAGATATATTAACATTTGTAAGTAATATATTGTCTTTATCTATATTTTAACAATTTTTCTGAGAAACACGTTCGACTGAGTCTGTCGCTCTCAGTTACCATTATTCTTCAATTAGTATTTTTTTTCCTGTATAACAACCATACCTCATAGAATTTAGAAAAATCTATTAAAAGAGAAAGTGTTTTCTTGTGATAGAGACAATATTTATTCTTCAATTAAGGTTTAAAACGACACAACTGTTTCCAATATTATGCTAGAAAATTATTTGAATTTTCGTTAGATTGTTGTTTATCTATTCATTTATCAAAACATGGTGTTGAAGTCCATATAGGCAAACTTGTTTTTATAATTATTATGACTCTTCAACTTGAGAATAAATAAATGTTTATCTCTGAACATTAAAGAGTTAGAGAGTTCACTGATGACAATGACGAGATAATCTTTTCAGCCAAAAATAACAATAAATTAGCCTTTTTCTACACCTATTCAAATCTCTATGATTATTATGGATTTAAGGTCATTTAAATTTTTTGTAGTACCCTACGAAAAGAAAACAAGATAGCCAAATATAGTACCAAAATTGATTACAAAAAATGGTCTAATAAGGTCTTTTCGATGATCGCTGCCGTTTTCAAAGGATCATGAGTCGCTTGCTATGACCAAATGCACCAAAATTACGATCATTTTAAAATATACAACCAATTAATTAAAATAACATCTGCATGGTGTTAAATCCTTAATAAAGACGGAAACTCGAGTGAATATCGAGACGAAGCGATATCAATTGCTATTGTCAGTAGATAATCCTAATTTTACATTGGTAGCTGAAAGTATAACTTATTCTACATCTCTGCTGAGTCTAACCTTTCAGAATCAAAAATTCAAATAGAAAAAAAACCGTGTTGATCAAACTTCACTAGTAACAGTGTTGCTTTTATTTATTATATGATTCTGACTTTTTGAAATACCACGTAGAGAAAACAGTTTCAGTTTTCAAAATAAATTCTTATCATTATTGATCCAAACACGGAGTATATGATGTAAATGCATATTGGTCTATTTGTGAGAAAAAAGCGATAAAATGAACCAATGAATGTGAATCAGACAAAAGAAAGGAGAAAGAAAAAATATAAAAATGCTGCTCAGTTGTATCGTCATTTTTTCAAACGTGTTGGTGAACATCTAATTCAATTTAGAGATACCTTTATGGTAGATTCTTCTTACTAATGATTCGACAGAAATTACAACATGTTATCGAACAATATTTTTTTTATACAACTGAATGCTTTATTGATCATTAATGGAATATCAGGTAAATATTCGAGAAAGTTTTTGTTTTCGTTTCTGACATTAGTATCATAAGAAAATCACCCTTACCGATTTTTTGTACTATTGACAGGTATCAAATCTAGGTTTTTTTTTGAATTTCATATTAATATATTGAACTCAGAATGAAACTCTTAGACGTAAACAAGAGATAAGAAAAACAGCTAGTCATTTTTATCATTCACTCTGTTTATGATTTAGTTCTATTGAAAAATAACTCAGCAAGTGGAGAAAAATGTGGAAAGTACAAGTATAAAGTTACTACTCGTTTAATATAGTATACACAGTCCGAGTGTGTTTATGTCTAAAATTAATTAAAACGTTTCAAGTCAACAATATTTTTACTATGATATCCAAATTTTGATACTTTATTGATATTTTTTCAATCTTTCATGACATAATTGAGTTGATTAGTAAATGGTCGAAGTAGTTAGCTCACATGTGTTTATCAATGTGCAATGGATTTAAAATTTGTGTCGCCGTTTTTAGTTGGACATATTGTTAACTGGAAGAGTAATGAAACATACATCAACCAAAATAAATGCGAATGCGGCAAGGTTTCAATAGATTCGTTGTGTTAAACTTGTATCTCTAAATTTTCCTCAAGCGTTAGGTTTTACTCATATTATCCAAAGTTTCATTTTTTTCGTTTTTAAGAATCTGCTGGCTTATACCTTGGTAGTAACACTACAAAGGACGGATCACTATTCGTGATTACATTCGGTTCTGGCCCTGCACAATATTCTAATAAAACACCCTCTGATTTTAATTTCCCAGCAGGCCATCGCCAAGTACTTGATGTCGACAACTAATGGTATATTTGCCTTTGTGAATGCAGTTCCTCCTGTTAAGAATTATAGGCACACTTCAACCCCGGATCATACGCCGGATAATCAGAACGGCTATATGTTCCTGCTCAAGCTGGCCGGTATGAACGCCGTACTTTTTAATTACACAATCAATAACCTTTGTATTGGCTTAAGTTATGAAACTTCCGCCTACTTTGCAAACGCTATCAAACAAGGAAATAATGTTATTAAACCAAAATTTCGTTTTGAAGTTCGAGTGGGAACAAACAGTTGCTTTTTAATTGCAAACATCAGTACACGAGGTATGCGTGGATACAAGACGATGACTTGGTCAAAACGTGGGGTTTCATTTGTAGCACATACTAGTTCAGTTGTACTATTAATGATTTCGGAGGCTGAAAAAGGTGATGGAAACCTTTTAGCCATTGATGACATCAAGGTACGTGTTTGTTCGATTAATCATTCTGGTTTCTGTCCTCCAGGTTAGTAATTCTAATGTTCTTTCAACATAGTATGACAATTTCCTCGATACTTAAGCAAATCAGTGGTTGATGTAATCCTGCTTTATTTTGTTATTCCTGTTCTTGGTTTAGTTCATAATGGAAACCTTGTTCTATCTCTCAAATTTTCATCATAATCTTGAAATATAATATTTACTACACATATCTTTCGAATTTCTTTATGATCTACTTCTTTCATGAATTCGCCATATAATGGTGTTTTTCTCATTGTGTCAGTTTGTTGCTTTTTTCAACTACGACGTCAAATCATCTTATGGGCCATTATTAGGCACCGATCCCTGACATGAGATACTATCCTAAAAGACGATATCTTCCACAAACTTTTGATTTGGTCGATTACATGATGTTGACGGTATTTTCTGGACATTTGTTGCCTACATGTTTTCAAGATGTGCATCTGAAAGTGATTCTATTCCAGAGAAGTTAGTCCTAATAGTTGATCCCATTTTCAATGCTTTGGTTCTTTTGTGATAGCTAATTCTATTAGTAACTTTTTAACTCATGCAACACACTATGTTTTATGATAATCAGTTAGTTTTTGTGATATTTCTCATTTGAGCCATTTCAATTCAGATGCTTTTGCAGCTCTATAAACTGAAGTAGATGATGTTTTTAAATTTGTCTTTCTTAATATGGCTAAAAAATTTCTTATATAAGCTTTATTTCTTGTTCTTATTTCTTTCACTACAGCTACTCTGAAATGTCATATAATCGTTATCGTCCGTTGGCTGGATCTTTTTGAATTAAGTAAAGCGACTTAAATGTGGTCGGTTGTCTGATTATTTGAAGAAAGATTTCAATATTAGATATTCTCCAACTAGGATTTGGACCATGTAATAACAACAAGAGTGATCGGAAGGAAATGACCGACAAAACAGGTGATGTAAGAGATGTCTGAAAATGTTGAAATGAAATTAAGCCAAAAAGAAATCCAATCAAACTGAATTCAAAAATACCAATATTGAATAATGAAAGAATTCACTCCGAGTGTAATTATTTTGATGTATTGTTCACATAATGAGCACAGAATACGCATATTGAATTGTTTAAACTGAATAGAAAGTGCAAACACAATGTGATTAGAGGAAGAAAAATAACAGATTGGATACTAAATACGTGATTTTCTTTCACTCAGCAGTCGAAATTTTCATGTTTTCGTACATTTCAATTCGTTTATTGGGAGTGTAAGGCAAACGATGATGCGATAAACACTCATAATATCGATTGGAGAAACAATCAAGACAATATTGTATCACTTTGTATAATTGTATTGCGCTACATACAAACTATTGACAGTTCATTCAAGTTTCTTGAAAAAATATTTATCGATTCGGAGATTTTAACTATCATGTTTCTTATGTCTAGATCACTTTTATTAGAGGAGATAATTAAAATCGTGAACTTATGTAAAAAGCGAATAATGACTAAAAAGCTCCTTTATGGAATGATCGAATAAAGTTGAAAAATCAATCGCAAACATAATGTAAAAAAACTTCAATGATCAAAATAAAATGACCATTCGAATGTATCTTTTTGGTAGATCTCTTCTCCTTGAATAGTTAGTGTTTCGATGGATTTTAAGTGATGTAGTGTGTCCTGGAAGTTGAAACTGAGTGTACGTTGGAAAAAGTGTCATAGGGCTCGAAACCCGCACAGAATAGGGAAAATTTTTCTAAAATAAAAAGGTGGGCAAGATTTGTAAAAATTAGTCTGAAAAACTCGTACTCTGCAGTGACAAGCTAATTGTGATCGGTGAGGTAAAGGTCATTGTCAAAACCTTCAGACGAATTTTTCTGCTTATGAGCATCTTGGAAAGTAACTATTTTACTAAAAGGAGTAATATCTGAATTACAAACTTTGTACTATCCATGTTTTCCTAATACGAATCTGAGAAGGAGGAAATGCCGAAAATCGAACACTTTTGAAATATTCTCACTATATTTTTCAAGTTGGAAAATGTACTTCTCAGTTATCGTAAGCTATATAAACCAAAATTTCACAAAAGGATGCCGAAATATGTAGTGGATGAAAAACTCTCTTGATATCAACATTGTTAAGCATCCCCAGATTCATTCTTAACTCTTTGATCGAGACGATATGAAAACTGATAATATTTGTGAAAACGCACCTCTTCCCAAAAACCAACAGTCTAAAGGAAAAAACAGCCGCCATTTTCCGAAACTACATTTAAATACTCAATAAGGCGTAGGGAATGCATGTGAGCACGATTCGCGTCTCTACCCATCCACACTCACATCCTTTAAATAAAATATCCAAATACAGCCCTATTTACTAACATACTTTTTCATATGAATATGGTGCATTTTTCTAAAGTATGCTAGCGAACGAGTGTAAAGTTTACTATTTTTTACTCTTGAAAGATCATTATACTAATGATTGACTTTTTTTACACAGAAATTTCTACAACAATAACTACTACAACAACCTCAACCACAATAGCTTTTACTACTACCTTTATTAAAACAACCTTAACTAAAAAAATTTCTACTATTACCTCTACTACATCAACCTCAGCTAAAACAACTTTTATTAACACATCTTTAACTTCAGTAATCTATACTACAATAATCTCAACGGCAATCACTACAACTACAACAAGTTCAATTGAGATAGTTGAAACTGAACCGACTTTAACTACAACAGATTTAATTGGAAGAGTTTCATCGACTATTTCTCAAAGAGATAGGATATTGAAAAATAACTTATTATAAATTTGTGAACAATGTTTTATAGCCAACAGAGTTGTGCTAGTCGGAGATTTTGTGTTTTCGATTACAATGAAAACGTAAAAATTCAGTAACTAATCAAGAAATGATAATAATAAGAAAATGCTTATTTCTCAGACGAAAAGGGATGGAGGAGACTGTGAGTTCACTGGAAATATCATTCATAAATGTAGCTATAAAAATAGATTAATGAATGATCAAAATAACAGTCGAATCGAAAAGTTTCTTCTATTAACTAGTGCTAGTTGTGACCATTTCATACATGTTTATAAATACCTCTAACACACGAGATCATTATCACTCGAACCACAAATTTATTACTTTTTATTCAAACATCTTAGTTTTTCAAAATCACGTGATCGATACCGAAATTTATAAATAAGTTAAACTAAAACTTGTACCGGCTTTAGAGACTGAAATCGAAGAAGACAATTTAAAAATAGCATCGTAATACATTTTAAATATTTCAATGCAATGTTTTCAAGTAGAAAAAAATTCTCATTTCTCTACATCAGAAGTGCCAAATAAGAAATACGTAGGAGTACTTCGATCTACCTGTATCAAGGCGAAGTTACATTTTTTGTAGAATACTTTAGCAATATTCTTTCTCGAAGTTAGAACAAAAACAAATCTCTGTGTCAAACTTACTTTGCGTGATTCAATTAAATATCCATTTTCAAGAATTGAACATTATCATGTTATAACATATACGTAAAGTTGATGTGTCAGTTCAATCATATTTACAAATAATGTTTCGAAAATGAAAAATTAATACAAATTTGTTTGCTATGTATGGTTAAATGGAGTTTGACGAGCTGATTAAGGGTATATATGTTGCAAATATTTTGGAATGAATTTTTAGGTAGAAATTATCAGTCTTTGTCTAACAAACAAGGAAAATAGTCAATTTTCAAGATTACATATTTTAGCTGAGCATAATGACACTGAACAAACTATATGAGTCTCATAAGAGTTGTGCTGACAAGTTGTTCTTATGCATAGATTTGATAGGATCACCAATAAGTTACTTTTTTCTTCATATTTAATTCTACTTTTCTATACTCTTCAGAAAACTCATTATCGTCATCGTTTAAACCAGATGCTTGTGAAAATCGAACAATGATCGGTTTTAATTGTAATACACCTAATAGCTTATGTAAAATGCTTAAACCATGTCAAAATAATGGAACATGTTATGATACTGAGACTGAGATTCCTAGTTATCATTGTTCATGTCCATCTGATTTTAATGGTACTGATTGTGAATTTAATTGTCGGCCTTGTAAACCATATACTTGTCTTGATCATGGTAAATATTTTTTTCTTCGGTATATTTTTCAAGAAAGCGGCAAAATTTATTTTATTTTAGGTTTATGTAATGAAACATCAAATTCAACATTTAATTGCATATGTGATGCCGGTTGGCAAGGAGCTCACTGTGAATCGATGATAAATTTTTGTGATAATGTCACATGTTTCAATAGAGGTGTTTGTCGACCATTATTATTGAGTTATAAATGTGAATGTCTTGGTAATAGCTATTCAGGTGTTCATTGTCAAATAACTTCAAAAAAGATTATTATTTATAAAATTGTGACAAAATCATTTGCATATATTGCAATTATTGCAATATCATTAGTTGCTATGTTTGTCATCACAATGGATATACTGAAATATTGTTTTGGTATTGATCTAACACGTGAAGAATTAGAAAGATATCGACGAGAAAAACGAATAAAGAAACGAAAACTACTGATGATTCAATAGCTTGTTCATGTTAATGCATCGCTGCAACTATTTCATCTACTGAAATTATACCTGCCTCAAACAAATATAAATTAAAAGGTGTTTTTGTTTCCTATTAATACTATGAGTACGAGTGGTGCGTGAAATGACTCCCAGAGTTATTTTCAATGTTATTCACCATCATAAGTACTAAGAAGCTTTCAACTAGTGTTTTTTATGAAAAATTGTATCATTGATAAAGATATTGAAAAATAAAAATAATTGTAAACCTTCTGAGAAAAAAACTTCTGAAAACACTCAAAGCCGAGAATTTAGCATTTAGAATTCTTAAGCACAATTCTATTTGAAATTTTTAGAATGGTAGAATACATAAAAGTCGTTTTATAGGGTGTGGGTATGGGTGTCGGTGTCTGATGTGGATGTGAGTGTTCGTATTCTCTCCAATAACACCCACACACATCCTCAAACATATGGTTCGATATTCGAAAATAGATTTCTTTTCTTAAATATTTATGGCATAAGTGTTTAAACAATATTTCACGAGATATCGTAATAAAGAACCAAGAAAACCAGAATAATTTGATTGAATTTTCAACATAAAATGTTTCTTGTTCCATTTGATGTAGCAATTCAAGATTATAATGAATAAGATCGAAGGTCATGAAAATATATATGCAACGATATCCTTATAGAAAAAGCCCAAATGAATAGAATGACATTGAAAAGAAATTCCTAAAAGAATTTACTGCGAGATCTTATTGGGTCCAAAAATTTTGATTTCTTTCTTTATAAATAAACATTGGGGTGATTTACCTAATACACCAGTAATTAAACGAATAAAGAATATATTTTTTTCTCTTTATCTACTCGCTACATTTCAGTAGATATGGTGGGTGTGGGTATGGTGTTCGTGTGAGTGTGGGTGTGGAGTGTGAGTGTGCGTACGATAATCAGATGCACACCCATATTCATACCCACACCCGCACACCCACACACACCCACACCAACACCCTTCAGATCTCTAGTCTTTATTGTAAGGGAGATATATAGATTCGTATGATAGACAAAATCTTTTTTCGATGCCATAAAATCAACATACCGAGAAGTCATATAAAATAATAAAATAAGAAGTTAAAAGAAAAGCATCGAAATGAGGAAATATTAAAGAGAATTATAACGGATCGAATTATATTTCAAGATTAATTAGATGTGTGTGGTATATTTATTTAAATATTTTTAACTGCGATTGAATGTATTTGAACGCATGACCCGCGTCTATTATTCATTTTCGACAAATCTTTTTCTATAATTTCTCATTTTGTGATTATATAACTATTAAGGTTGCGAAAATATAAAAAGTTTAGGGTGTGGATAAGTGTGGATGTAGAAATAAATACTCACACCCACACTCAGTCAATATGCTTCAAAGAACGAAAGAAAAGTATATATGTATATATAATGGACATAGGTCTAGACATGCCAAGGAAGAAAGAAAGAGAACGGAGAATTTGTAGTGTAATACCATTTTTATCATGGTTCGTCAATTGCATGAATAATGAACGTGTCATGAATCATCATTAAGTTTCATAGATATTAAATCAAATTTCATTGAAACTTTCATATTTTTCGTATTCTATATTACGAAAAAGTATTTTTCTAAATCATCTGCAATTTTTTTGTCAATATCTCATCAACGGTGGAGTTTCTAAATGAATATTATGCGACGAAAAACATAACAAACTCAGAAAAAATAAGAATGTTCCTACCTTGATCATTTTTTTCTATAATTACTTTCGAGAGCTTTGTTAAATCGAAAATAAACTGTATCAGTCAGCAGAATATGAACATTTAATGTTGAAATAAGTGAAGATTACATTACATGGACAATTACCTATCTTTATGAATAATAATATGAGTTTTATTAAACTTTTGAATTCCATTAGTCTTTTTACAAGTTTTGGCTCATTAACCTGCTGAGTTCGGACGACGTATATATACATCCAGCTATTTCATTTGAGCATACAGTGGTATGTAAATATGTATGAATTGCGTCATAGAACAAACATGTTACTAGCTTATTCGTTGATTATTTGGGAAAAGCATTTTATTTATTAGATCATGGACTAGGTTTGTGAAATCATACTAGGAATTTACAGTCACAATAATACTGACATATTCTCTTTCTTTTTTCCAAATATGTGTAGTAAAAACCTCAAAGTAAGGATAACACGCACCAGCTACTATTGGAAGACCTTACACAAAGACTCTCTTCTGTCTTTAACTGCTCGACATTTTTCTTCGTCCACTAGATAAACATCGCAATGAAAACAGTTTGAAAAAGAAGAGCTTCATTGTTTGAACATCTCATAGTTTTTGATGTATGATATTAGCCATATGTCTTAACGAAAATGCACCTTTTCCTTTATCATTGATTGTCTCAATTGACTATCAAACGAAAATAAAGTACTGCATCCTTGGCATAGAACCAAAACCTCGTTCAAAAAAGTAAAGTATACACAGTATTGTAAGATTCCTTAGAGAAATCTGAATTTTCAAAAAAAACCGGGACTCAAACGGTTAAAATATTTTCACATTTCCAAAAAAATACAAATTTCCAACAGGCGAGATTTTCATGTGTTGTTAATGAAATGTGTTTTGTTTTTAAGGATATATATCGTATTATGAACATATCAAAAGAAATTTAAAAAAAACCAGTAAATGGTATGTTTCAATAAGTTTTCTCTCTTTTAGAAAGTTGTTTTTAAATGCATAATTTCTTGAAGACAAGGTAGTCACGTCATGCCATTTTCATCTCAACATTTTCTATGGATAACCCTTATTTTAACATCGTTCAAATTTCATCAGAGAAAATATTTGTTTCAAGAAGTACTTGTCTAAATATTCGAGAAAAATTAATAATACTTTTCATAATCAAAAAAAAATATATATACGTTAATATACTACTGTTGTAAATATCGACGCATGCTCACTCATTATCGAATCATCTTTAATACAATGAAAAAATTGATCATAAGTTTATTTATGTCATTGATTACTAATCAGAATTTTCTGGTTTACAGTGATCTATTATCTATATTAAGTCTATTTTAGTTCATTCAAGTACTATTTATCTCTTAAAATATAATAAAAATATTGCTCCGTAAAAATGAATGATGCTAATCATTGTATTTGATTCCATTATTTTGTTGATAAGAATCTATTTCACATAGTATTAAGTCAATACATTCGTTAGATGCACTATTCCGAACTTGTTCGGCACAGTAGAGTTATTCATGAACTGAGAAATAAGTTTTCATGCCAGTAAACTAATATCCTTTTTGTTGTTTTTACTGTTTCGCAGCTAATGTGAAGCTACCTTTTGTTTTTCTGTCGTGGTACTCCTGTTTATGGATTATATTTATTGACTTTGGTTGAGCATGAATTGAAATTAGAATTCATGGTTTTACTTTTCTTGTAAGAGTCAAGAAATATGGTTACAAAATATGATGTCAACCATTTTCTAATAACTATTCAGTTGTATTATCTATTTCAAAAAAAGGCACTAGTGGTATTTTTAAACTCTTACAAAGAGTGAAAAAATGAAATTTCTACTCTCGCCATAGAACAATTATATTTAGCAGTCAAAAGCATTTTCTATATTCAAATTTCTTTTTTTTTTATTAATTACTATATTCTCACATGTTGTGTCCAATTACAGTAGTAATACAATATTAGGATAACAACATGATTCACTTTTTTGAAACAATGTTTTAATATAATATTCATCATGATAATATGTGTAGTTTGTATGACTAATACTTAATGGCTTTGGAAGCTGAAACACATTGTTGTTCATACAAAGATGTTACTTTATTTGGTTTATGAAAACACACAAGTGCTGCTTTTGCTTGAGGTGTAACTAAAACGAACAGAAAGCTGAGCACGATCATAACAATGACTGCAATAACATATTGAAGGCGATAAAATATTGGTTTTCCTACATCTGTAAAAATTAGCATTAGCTTCAAAATAACAGAAGGAAGTCCCCCCAGGAGCAAGATACGTAGAATCAGTATAGTGCGTTGTACCACAATTAAATCACGTTTAGATCGTGCTGAAATAGTCGTAGTTGTTCGACGAATAAAACGCTTCAACTGTAAATACAAAATATTCATAATAATAACTGGTATACAATTCATAATGATTGTACACAAAATAAATCCACGAGCACTATAAATAACTAGAAAGCAGGTGTTTTCCATTCGAATAAATTGTATATCATGCCATACATGAACGGGCAGGATAAAGAGAAATGACATAAGCCACATAGTTGGAATAATCACAAGATAAGTGAGAACATTTTGTAGCCATATATAAGTTGGATAAACAATACGAAGAAAACGAAAGACAGCCTAGAAATTAATAAATTTATTTTAAATCTAGAACTGCTATCAAATGCAAACATAGAATATGAAATGTCCTACATGTTTGCGATATGAATTGCGTATAGTTTTTCTAAAATGGCATATTACTTTTCTTTCTATTAATACTTTAGCTATTGTTGATACATAAAGACAATCGAAGCCTAATTTTTGTATCAAACAAAATAATCATGTTTAACACACTATAGAATTGTTCAATGAAAAAACGGATAATTTTTTTTTCAAAATCGCCTTTTTCTTCTCGTATACCAATAAAAAAGAGTTAATTTCTACTTGGGAGCAGTAAAGTTTTGTATTATGAAGAAAGAAAATTTCTTGATCAGAGGTAGGAAACACTATTATATAAGATAATGAACCACTACTTACACATTTCAGCTTGTTTGTGAATTGTATACATGGTTCTTGATGCGTGAGAAAAGGATGATGAACTGGATTTTCCTCTCCAATATTTAAATGCTTTAATCAAAATTCTCTATTGAGTTCTCTCTCAAATCATTCAAGCAGCCTTGTCATTTCTGACAGACTTACTAGCTAACTAGTGATTTTTGTCAGATGTGATAGTCAATGGTGGTGTGTCGTACAAGGGTCACAACCAGGATTCATAAAAAAAAGTGATCTGACAAATAAATGGTAATTTCAGGAATCTATAGTTAACTACTGCTTTTCTCATCATTCCATCGGTTCTTATTTGTAACTGATAGCAATACTAATGAATAATCTCTGATAAAGAATGAAAATCCATGATAGTGACTGTATCTAACATAGATCAGTTATGATCGTCAGTTGCTGCATTAATAAATGCACAGGAAAAGAAGATCTTTACTCTTTGTAGGTGATGAAGTTTTAAAATTGAATAAGAAAACAGCCTGTACGAAATACTAGAAAAATTTACATAAGAAATCCATTCAAAAGTTCATACAAGTTCGAATGATTGATATACCTAAATGATTGATGACTATGAAGACCCTATTGATACAACAAAAATTGAACTGTGTAAATTTTATAAATAGTTTTTCTCATGGCTCATATATAAATACCATCTTAGAATGTTAATGTTATTCATACGACAAAAGATATCATTTAGTAGTCAGAGTTTTTTCAAGTACTTATCAAATATTGTTCACCTCGATAGATTATTTGATCAAACCTTTTAGGACCAAGCACAATATTCCTTTCTACTGTTGCCATACATTACAGTGAAAAATGAGCGAGTAATAATAAGAGATAAACATGATGGACAACCAGTGTTATATACATAATAGAATCATGAAAAAAAAATTATAATACTCATCAAAAGTGTTTGATGAAAAATTATTACTTTGAAAAGAATTTATCGATGGTAAAAAAACAAAATGTTTTTTTTTGTTGCATTAAAACATATCGGAGACATATAGTATGATGTGAATCTTAATCTACGTCTAGTAATAAGTGAAAAACTCTCTGCTTCGTCGACTATGTTCTCAAAAGTATTACCTGTAACGTAAGATTATTAAATACGATCGCTATAGATGCATAAAATAGATATCCTTTAACACGACAACTAAATGTTTCCATACCAATAGATAAATTATAATCACCTCGAGCCATATCAATATTCATTGGTATAGCTATAAGTGCAAAAGTTAATAATGCTAAATAATTATTAACGACCAAAATTAGAACTACATCACGTTGGCGTACTATTGATGGCAAAAGCATACTAAGTATAAATATACATATGAGCCCAATAAATATAGTTCCAATGAGTGAAATTAAATTGAGAGCTATAGCTGTTGTTGATACAATTGTTATATTCGACATATTGTTTTTCCAGAATTATGAAAAATAAATATTGTCAGAATGGTTTTTTATCTATTGATGAGAGTAAAGTGACATTTCGTTACTCGAACATTATAAAAATTAATGGATATTTTGAAAAAAGGAAATGATAACGTTATACTGACAAATTATAAGACAAGTATTTGAAATCATGATAAAACATTGATAGAAGAAGACATAAGACAATATGGAACAGTAGACTTATGAGTATTTCACATAAACTACTAGAATCCATAAAACATTCCATATCTCATGATGAGTAGTACTCTATTGCGCTACATAGATCCTAAAACAAGTATTACTAATGAATGCTCAATACTCATGGGTATTTGCGCCAATGTCTAGAATAAATACGTTCTGTATCAGTAATTTGACTAACGTCATTATTCGAATCTCGTTATCTGTTGACTTGAAGAAAAATAGAAGAAAAATGACTTTTCATTTTAAGTTTTGAACAACTTGTTGAATGCAATTTATTATTTATTCAAATATGTTGACAAAGATTGGTTGAAATTTTAATTTTCTTCTCGAGATATAAAGACAGATTTCTCCATTAACTATAAAACGCATCAAATAAATTCATTTTTTGGAGATTTTAGAAATTATTAAAAGACTATAAATAACTAGATAAATAGAAAAAAGCCGATTAAAATGTTTTTGTGTAATAAGAAACAGCATATTATTTTTCATAATTGAAGTGTCTAATTCATAGGCTAATACACTGTTTCTTTTTCTCTATTTATTGTGTTCAGTCTATGTTTTATATTATTCATACGTGATAAAATAATGACAAGAAAATCTTGTCTGTTAAAAGAGTAAGCTAAATATTCTTTTATTATGATAAAATAAAAATAAGATATATTTTACATTTTTTTTTAAAGATGAAAGAAAAGAATCAAATATGAAAGCATGAAAATTTAATATTTAAAAAAGTGCATTAGAAAAACGAGCTTATAGAATGAAAATCATATCTCATCACAAGAAATCAATTATTCAATAGATGTACAATTCTTTGTCGATTGTATATTTGCTTATATCATTTTTTTTGAATAATCATCCCATCTTATGATATTTTAAACGAATATATAATATCTTATTTTGACTATCTTAACGTAAAGATGTATCTCATTTTGTTGTGTATCGATGAAGAATTTTTCATTGTTTCAGAACAGATAAAAAAGGCATTATCATAATTGTAGCTGTTTTGTTGCTTATTTTATACCACTTAGTTTTCTCTTCACGTTAAATAAATATCATATGAGAATACTAAACAATTTATTAACTAATGTTTTTTTCCTCTCTATCAACCATAAGAATGCACAAAATCCATGTAAGAATATTCAAAATACATTCTGTATTACATGATAAACAATTGTCGTAATTCAGATTTGTCACATGAGTCATCAGGATTCTTCCTCTTTTTCTTTTTTGTACCAATGTTCACTTTTTTTTCACTATAACATAAAAGATGAATACTAGCTTCACACAGTTTTCTAGATCGTTTTACTTGATTACATCTGTAGTAAATCCGTTTCCCTTCGCTGGTTATATTTATATGCGTTTTGATCCATGTATCATCAGTATTTTTTTACTATTAGCAGCATCTTTATTGTTGTATGTGCATATTCGAACCCATTTTCTTCTCTTTTGTTTTGTTCGTTTATTAACCTCTTCAGTTTTATTAGAAGACTCCAGTTCCGTATCATGGTCACGTTCACTATCAGAACTATATTGCGCTACGCATTGTGATTGAGTCATTTGTATAAATCATATATTGTATTTTATGAAATTGATAAAATACGTATTTGTTAACAGGAAATTCGATCTTAATGATTAATATCAAATGTCTATTTTTTATTTTTCAAGTAGAAGCAATACATATGCGAGCATGATAGAAAAAACAAAGGTATAACAGAAAAAACCTACAACCTGAGGAAAACTAGCTGAATAAGTGAATGTTTGGAAAATACCTCAACGAAAAGGTAAAGGAAAAAAGAAGAGAAAAGAACGCATATATGCATGTCGTGCGTGTCATCTACGTATATTAGATGATGGGAGGAAAGAAAAGAAAAGAAATTTCCAACAAAGATAAATAACACTAAAACAGTATTTGTATAAACAAATGAATTTTTATTGTCCTTTTTGTACAATATATACATTCAGCTTAAATAAATTATTGCTCATTCAGTATGATTATTGCCCATTCAGTACATTATTACTTAATTTCAAAATTGCTCATTTCAATTATTTTATTACTCAATTGAATATAAATCAAAAAATATTTGTGAGGAAAAGAGGAAACTGATGAATAATACTTATAGACAAAAGTTATTTTTCTCTCTCTCTCCTTCACTTCAACTATAAATAATCTGCATTCACAGCGTTGACTTCACTTCACTTCAGTTTGCAATCGAATTATACTCAAGACGCTCTTTCTAACTATCTCTTTCTGACACACACTCAAACACATACAAATAAGTCACTACTTCATGTTTCTCCGACAGCGACTGAGTCTGCTTTAAATTTTCATTTATTTTTAGTGTTAACCGATAGTACGAGTGCCAATTCTTTTCGTGATAGCAATCGAGCATATTACGGGAGTGACGGCAATGATGCCAGTTCCAACTTTTTGAGTGCCCAGTCTTCTTCATCGGGAAATAGCGATCGAGCAACTTAGTGGAGCGGTAGCGGCAATAGCAATGACAGCAGCTTTTCGAGTAGTCAAAGTGCATCTCCAAGCCGCGGACACCACAAATCAGGACCGTCAAATGTTCGAAGTCAGTCAGTAAAATAAGAAGGACTAACTTTAAATTTAAAAAAAATAAAATAAATATAACCTAGAAATTTCTCGTGCAAGTCTCTGAATAAAAAAACCATTGTCGAATAAAGTTTGGAAACCATGGTTTTTCTTTCTGTAGTTTTTCACTAAGTCTGCGATAAAAACTTCTTTGAGTGTGGTTATGGGTGTAGAGTGTGTGGGTGCGAGTGTGGATGTGGGAGTGTGAATGGGTGCCCAGGCAGAAAACTTTTGTAAGACGCGTTTAAACGCACAATCGAGAACCGCGATTGTAGACCACTAACGTTCATTAAAAAAACACATGGAAATGTGTTTATTGGCGTTTTGTGTTACTTTCTGAGCATCAAAACGTGAAAATTCCAGCTTTTGAATGTTAAAACGCACTATTATTCTAGAACTCACAAACAATACGTTTTAACCCTCAAAAACTGGAATTTTCACCGTTTTAGCGCCCAGAAAGTTACAAAACACGCCAATGAATTGGTTTTCATACAGGTTTTTTTTTTATGAGCGTGAATAGATCACAGTGGTGGTTTCCGATTCTGCGTTTAGGGTGTGGATGTGGGAGTGTGGCTGTTAGAACCCATCGGGCCCAAGAATTTTTGTACCTGGACCCCGACCTTGCTGACTAAAAGTTTTTTGAAGTGTAGGTGTGGATGTGTGGGCGTCTGGGTCTGTGGGTATGAGTGTGTGGGTGGATAAGTGTGCGTGGGAGTTCAGAAAGATTCTAGATTGAGACAAACACTCACACCCACAACGCACCCTTTCGATATCTTTCGAATAATGTGGTATGTTTTTTATTCATAAAAATATGAACTATGTTTAGCAAATATCGCATAATTTCAAAAGGTTTTTTAATAAGCAAATTTTGCAGATATCAAAATTTGATAGACTTATTTCAAGAGTATCATCTATGGATGGCTTTTTAACTGTCTAAAGATAATTTTCTATCCATCAAAGCGTGGACATATAGAGAAGCAATTTTCGTTTAAGTATCTTTGTAACAGATAATTTAGCCCTTTTGTTTCTTAATGTTTTATGTACTATTTTGTAGCCCGTGAAATTCTCTATCGAATATTATGTAATAGTTAGAGTTTCGTTTGATTATGAGAGAAAAAGTTTATTCTTAAGAAGAGCAAGATAGATCAATGTTCCTATAGAAATAATGACATTTTTTGCGATAGCACAATAATTTCTTGATGAATGATTCTCATTTTCGAACTCGATCGAAATATCAATGAGACGATTCTGTGTGCGAAATTTCATCATAATCGAACTACCCTTTGAAAAGTTATCATATAAATGGAAGAATGGATACACTGACTAATTCTTTAGTATACTCAGTGTCTGAGTACATAATACAAACAGTTTGTAAAATGATGTTTCGAATGAATAAAAGCATATCTAACCAAACTATTCTATATAAAATATATTTCCAGATAGAATAAATTTCATTGTTAACAACTTTTAATAAAATCAATTGTTTCGATAATCAAATTGTTGAATTCTATTGAATGTATGAAATGAAATTGAGAAGAGAATTATTTCACTAATAAGATCCTATTTGATGATATATAGATGTTAAAATAGATAACATTTATATGTATTATTGTTATGATGGATAATAATTAACTATTTTCGAAAAAGGTATATAATATAAATGATTTGAATTAATTGCAACTAATAAAGTATCTTCATTAGGAGGTAATGCTAATGATAAAATAATATGATGTGATATTGGTTGATCATATGAATATAACGAATTTCTTGATAAATCATTTCGAATTGATGATTCTTGTTTAAAGAGTTTCTCAAAAAAATTTTCTTTTAAAAGTGTTTTTCTCAATCAAATTATTTTTTTTTTGTTTTTATGTAAAAATCGTCAATAGTATTATATGAAAATAATATTACTCGACGTAAATAAGTCAAATGAAATGAATTTTCATTGCTTTGATCAATAAGAATATATCCATTTCTATGAATAAACTAAAATAATATTAAAATAAAATAATTATTTAAAAGAAAAAACTTACGCTAATGATATAAAACTCAACGTGAAAAAGGTAATAAAGAAATAACATAATTTGAATAACGAGAATCTTTTTTTGAATTAAAATTTTCTAAACTTGTATTTAAATATCTAAAAGAAATTGTTCGTTGTTTTTGATTTTCTTGAATTGAAATCGATGACGAAGATTTTTTCGATTTAATTTAAATGACGAGATTGATTTTAGTTTTGATAGACTTTTCTTATTTATTAGATTTATATCTGATTTTGTTCGAATATTCGTTCGACTCATTGAAGAGATATTTATTTCATTTGCTTTTATTCTATTCAAAATTTAAAAAAAAAGTATTTTCTATATTAATTAATAAATAATAGAAAAACATACAAATAATATTTTGAATTATATCTCCATGATTATTAACAATACATGTATGGGCAAAATCATTTGTTATCGACGTGACTTCGGAAAATTAAAATATCTGTATCTCGAGATAATGAGCTGTCTTAGATCTGATTTTTATATGTTGCATGGACATCAAGTTATTCTAGATACCCTGAAAAAAATCAGCGCAATGAAGCTTTGTTCAAAAAAGTTATTGATAAAGAACTACGATTAGCGACATGACACAAAAAGGACATCGATTTCCATTTTGTGCATTTTAGCTTTTAAAAATTTCCAATTCATGCACAATTTTAGAAAACTAAATAGGACATTCCGTAGACAACTCCTAAGGCTATACAGTTTATATGCAAAATTTTTCTGAGTATGTCTAGGTTTTTCAAAGAAAACGATTTATTTGGCGTTAGCGACGTGACACAGTACGACTACACAATCGAGATGGTGCTCTGCTAACCAATTGATAAGTTTTAAATCGACTTTAAACGTTACAAATCCTTGCCCAGACTCTCTAGATGATGATAAGCAAAAGTTTTCGCTTCTTCACTTTTAGAAGTCTCTAGAAAATCGGTTTTTCGGAAGAAAGTTTTTGGACTTCAATCTTGCTGAAAGTTTTACCATAGATGCAGCTTTTTCCCTAGACTCTATCCTGAAGTTGTCAGATTTTTTTCTCATATGGCTACCGAGTTATTTGTTAATTCTGTTTTAATTAATTAATTAATGAAAATTAATCTTAATTAGTAACCATGTGAAAGACCAAACAGTTTCACATAAGTCTATACCAAAAGAATTTATCCAAAAAATTCCCTCTTATAGAGAATCAACCTCAAATGAAAGGTGCAAATGTCCTATTCTGCCTGGTTTTGCCGATATATTTAATATAGAATGAGAATATACTCGAAAAACAAAAGATCAAAGGAGAAGGGAAAAATTATGATGCCACACACTATAGCTTCGTACCAAAAGGAAAGAATATTTGAAAAGTAGCTATATGAGAGAAAGAAAAAAAAAGTATGAGATAACAAATATAGTTATTGATGACCTTACATATTTAATAGTTTAATGTGAAATATAACATTTTTTTCTTTAGTGAAAAATAGGTGGTCCAAAAATGAGTGACCGGTTCTCAAAGGATTAGAATAACTAAGATAATGGAACGAACAATATTATCAATATTGTATTTTTAGTATTCAATTACTAAATAAAAGTATAAGTCTAACTTATCTCTAATTATTTTGTTTCAGTTTCTAATTATTAATGAAAATGTTAACTAATATTTATCATAATTTAATGTTTCAAATTCTTATAAGATGATGATAATTATTAAGATTAACTGAGTAAATTTTCTCACTGATTTTCATCTGTTGGAATATGACTTTATTTTAACAATGAATGCCTAACATAAATAGAATTAATAGATTGATCAATTGATTAGCTAGTATACATCAATGGCAAGTAAATAGAATGAACTAAAATTATCAAATAAATGTTATCTTTAATAAGCAATTATGTTAGCAATCTTTTTTCGTTATTATAAAAAGTACACATTTGAAAACATCTTTAAAACTATTAATGCATTATAATACTGATGCATTGTATTTTCAATCGATTCTTTTAACAGAAATTTGATTTAGATAACAAGAATTGTGTTGAACTTTTTCAAGGATACATTTAAATAGACTTTGAAGGAATTTTCTGATTACTTTAGATAAAATCATAGATTATTTAATAAGAAACAATTCATTAATAATATAATTAAATAAATAAATTTTGATTTCAATAGAAATTCTGATAATAATGATATAAAAATAAATGTCAAATAAATCATATTATTCTTGCAGATATAATCAATCTACAACCACTTGCTTATTGAATTAAAGATGTCAATAAAAACGAAAATCTTTTTCTTTTTAAATAAAAGGATGTATTATTTTACTTTTCTCCAAATTTGTTGACGATTGCATTTTGATTTATTTATACATACTTTTACTTTAGTATTAAATTTAAAAATTCAATTCAACTTTCAATTGTTTATATTTCAATGGCATCGAAAGCAAAAAAGAATGTATGTATACATATGGTTAAAAAATAAAACTTGAATTGAATTTATTGTGCACCTTTATCATGTATGACTTTATGCTCAAGAAAACAATTCATCATCATCATATTAAATTGATCAATGTGATACTTTGTTTTTTTTTATTATTAAACCTAAAAAAGTTATGAATCAGGCATGAGATATTTTTATTTTATTTGAGTATGTTTATATACTTTTTAAATATTAATAATGAATTGTTCCTATAAAATGTGTACATATAACACAACTGACAATCATCATTAATTCAAACAAACAGATAAAATAATATAATTAACGAAATTGATGTTCATCAATCAAAGAAGAAAGTTGTTGTTTGAAAGCATTTGTAATAAGAATTATAGCTTGATCAAGTTCATCATCAGTTGTCATATAACTTGTACTTAATCGAATCGTGCTGCGTGCTAATCTATATGAAAGACCTGCGAATAGAAATAAAAAAATCATAAATCTCAATAATTTATTTTTAAATATTCATGTATCGATTATTCCTTTAATATGTAAAAATATAAAAATAATATTCAATGTTATAAAAAAAACTCAATGAAAATATTCCGAATATGATTTGTTTAATTGAATAACAAGAAAAAAGAAATTAATCATACCAATAGTTTGAAGTGTTGTTGATATTGTTTGATGTTGAGTATCTTCATGACATGTACTATCTGTTGAAAAAGTTAATTGATTACTTAATTAATAAACTAATTGTTTAGTATTTATAGCAGGAAAAGTTAAACTTAATGTATTTGGTAAACAATGTTCATTTCCATTACGAATAATAAAATTTTGATTATTATTATTAAATTGATTTATTCAAACTTGATCAAGTCTATCATGTGTTCGTTTCATATGTTCAATTTTTTTTATTTGAAATAGATTTATTTGATATTAATTGACAAGCTTTTCCTAAACCAATAATAGCTAAAACATTTTCAGTACCTGATCGAAGATCATATTCATGTTGTGCACCATAAAGAATTGATTTTAATTTAATACCTTGACGAATATAAAGAGCACCAATACATTTTGATCCATGAAATTTATGTGAACATATTGTTTATAAATCAATACCAAGACGTGATACATCTATTGAAACTTTTCCTATTGATTGTAATGCATCACTATGAATAATAATATCAGATGAATTATATTTACGACATATATTAACTATTTCTTCAATTGGTTGAATTGAACCTTTTATAAATATTAAAACATATTTAAAATAAAACAAATAGAAAAACTAAAAACAAAAAAATTTCATTATTATTATATATTATAGTAACAAATTTTGTTTCAGGTTTTAATAATTGACGAAAATTTTCAAGATGAATTATTCCATTTGAATTAACTTTAAGATAAGATATTTAAATATTTTTATTTGAATTTTGTAAATATTTAAGAATATGTGCAACAGATGTATGTTCAAATGGACTTGTTATTATATGTTGAATTTTATTTAAATGTAATTAAAGAATTCCATAAATAGCTAAATTATTTGATTCTGTTCCACCACTTGTAAATATAATTTCATTTGTATCTGAAGCATTAATTAAATTTCGAACTTGTTCTCGTGCTTCATCAATTAAATATCGAGTTTGAATTCCAATTAAATGTGAATTATTTGGATTACCAAATGAATTTGAATGTTTTAAATGATTAACCATTGATTCAATAACAGATTTATCTTCACATGTTGTTGCATTATTATCTAAGTATATTATCTGAGATATATTACTATATTTACTATGTAAACCATTATTTATTGAAAAAGATGGCATGTGCTTTTTTATTCAATTGAATCTTGCTTGTTATTTTATATTATTAGTAATAGTTGAGACAATGACCCATTTCTGTGCTTTTACCTTCTTTTCGACGAACGATCACATGGCAAAAAATATACGATCCAACTTATTAACCCAAACTAGCTAGGTTTTTTCTCTCTCTCTATGTCGAATTTAAAAGCAGTTTTTGGAATTTTTTATTCTGTTTTATTTATGGAAAAAAATGAAATATATTGTTTATAGTAAAAAGAACTCTGTCTGTTGAGAAAAACAAATTAACGATCATGATTGTGAAGAATACTATTTTCGCTGATAAAATATTCCAATAAGAGAAGTTGTTTGTTTTTTTTGAAAATTTTGAGAAAAATGAACATGAATCTAATTAAATAGAAAACAAATAAAAGTTGAGACGTTCGAATAATTCAATGAAAATTTCAATATATGATTCCTTGAATTTTTATAGAAGAAAAACTTTTATGGATTGATATTCTATTATCAATCATGAATAAAAATCACTTGTTTATCTGTTGAGGGTGAGTGTGGAGTGGGATGTGGATGAAGAGAAGATCACTACACTCACACTCACACCCACACTCACGCCCACATCCTCTTCTAATAATCTCAATTGCATTAAACATTTTAATATTGATTTAAAGGATCTGATCGAAGATCATAGATTTATTTTCGATCTGAAAATAGTATAAAACAAAAGTAGCTTGCTAGTTAATAAATAATTTGATATCGGCTTATTAAGATTTGGTCTCTTTAGTGGATAAAAATTTTAAACAGAAAGTTTACCAGAAGACTATCTTTGCTTAGCTATTGCTTGCCGGGAAAATATTTTCTTCTTCAATTTTGTCATCTTAAATAAAAAGTCTAGTCAAGTCATAGTCAAATCCAAATTATCAGATTATTTGGTTTTATTTGTGAAAAAAAGATTTCTATAGTTATTTCATAGATGGTCAAAACTATTAGAAAAGATGATCAAATATTCGACATGATTAATTATTGTTCTCTTCAGATCAAAATCGATCATTTATATAATTTATTTTGTTCTCATTTGGAAATTTTTACTTACTCCTGTTTGTTCCAATCAGTTTAGAAAATTCGTTCTTTTTCTCCGATAAAAAAAATTTGAAAACTTTTCTTAAAATCACAATTTGATAAATACTAATTAGTGAGCAACTATTGAGATTGTTATATTTGATCGATTTCGAGAAGAGAAAAGACAAGTAAGAACATCTTCTTTGACTTTTAAAAACAGTCAATCAATTAAGATGGTCGTCTGTTGTTGTTCTTATTTTAGTTAAACATGTCATCTTCAAACTTGAAGATGTTAAAAAGATTTGAATTATTCAGATCTTATTTGTCCTATTGGTCGATTTCAATACTCAATCATTTATTTCTTTACTCTTCATTTTCTCTGAAAGTTCGAATGAATATTCTCTTTTTAGATAAAAACACGTTGTAAACTAGAATCAGTTGATAATAGTTAGCATCTATAACGTAACGTTAATTGATTTTCGTAATGACATTGACAAAACATAAAATAAATGAGATTTCACCTTTACGCCTGTGGACAAATGTATTTTCCTTCCTCTGCTTTTTTTCTACATAACACAATCACTATCGAATTTCTTACCGATCGAAAGAAAGAAATGAGAACCTTATTTTGTACAGGATCTACAGGCGATCTTCATTTCATTCATTCAATGTAGCTAGATGGCGATTATTATAGGATCGGTCAGTACAATAAGCTATGTTCCTACCATCGCCTAGAAAGTTTTATTTGTGCTTTCAATATTGTTGGCGCTTTTATCTTTATTTTATTATCGTTGTGATATTTTCAATCCGATAAACCGAACACAAGCACCAGGGGGGGCGGCGGGGGGGGGGGGGGGGAATAGAGGGGTCACCCCCTCCTGCTTCGGAAAATTTTGATTGGAGGGTGTGGGTGTGGGTGTGTGGGTGTGAGTGTCGTCTAGGAAGAGAGGAAGATCACACCCACACCCACACCCACACCCACACCCACACCCACACCTACACCCACACCCACACCCACACCCACACCCACACCCACACCCACCCACATCCACACCCACCCACACAACCACACACCCACACACATCCACATCCACATCCACACCCTATCTGAAATCCTATAGCTTCAGGTCATTTTCAAGGAACATCTAAGGAGGACGTGGATCATCCAGTTTATTAGAATGTTTAAAGCTCATATTTTGTGCAAAGATAGATCATCACTAGACTACCATAATCTCCAAAGAATTTGTTTTTTCAACGAATTTTGACCGAGATATAAAATTTCCAAGGATAACGATTTCGATGTGTTTACTATGAGAATGAGAAAAGCGTGTTGATCCAAATTATGGAAAAATCGTTATCTTTAAAAATTTCATATCTCGGTCAAAATTCGTTGAAAAAACAAATTCTTTGGAGATTATGGTAGTCTAGTGATGATCTATCTTTGCACAAAATATGAGCTTTAAACATTCTAATAAACTGGATGATCCACGTCCTCCTTAGATGTTCCTTGAAAATGACCTGAAGCTATAGGATTTCAGATAGAAGTCAGAAAACTTTTTCGGCCAAAGTTATTTTCTGTCCACGGTACACCTAACCAACACAAAAAAATTGACAAAAAACACTTTTTCCCGGAAAGTCGTAGGATTCCCATGGATTCACCCGAATATCAACTAATATGTATTTGTAATTGAGATGGATTCAGTAGAAATGCATAAATATGCAAGATAGTGACGGAAAATCTATCGTCTAAACTTTTTGACAGTAAAAATTTTTACTCTTGAATAACCAATGAATCATTTTCATAACTAACTGATAAAGATTCAATTTCTGAAAATACGCTATCAATATAAATATTTTGTTGAACAAATCTTGTATGAAACTTATAAAAGGAGAAAATATTTTGAAGCTGTATCAAAAAGCACATGTCTGTAGTGGTCCTTTTTCTAATGTAGGCTGGTTTCGCCAGCTTCTATACAAATGAGAATATTTATACTAAAATCTTAAGTGCTTACTATTCTGAGTGAGAAGTACAGATTCAGAGTTGGATAGGATTTCGATGCCAATCAAATTATTGTAGCTGATTCAAACAACGGAAGAAAATCACGTAACTCTTGAATTATTCGATTTTCTCTAGCTGATAATATTAAGTCGAAATGTTTCAATCGACCAAGAATAACTTCCATTCGTGAAATGTTCTCAGTATATCAAGAAAACATAACCAACATTGTGTTCCAACGAGTTAAACCCTTTTTTTAATGTATGAAATCGATTTGATGCGTTACTATTATGCAAGAATGTTATCAAGCAGGATCTATATGACTTGTTGACTATTTTTTCATTCAAACTGTAAATTATTAGATGAATGGAATTCTTTGAAATTATTGTTTTGAAATATTACATAAGAAGCTTCTAAGTCGTCAGCATCTAAAAGTTCACCAGCTTTATTTATAGACAAAAGCAAATCATTATATACATTTCGCTTACTTGATAATGTTCATTTTCAAGTTCATGTGGACGATCATGAAGCTTGGGAGTAATCACTTGAATGCAGTCTAAAAATTCTGGAACAAGATGATATGGGGAGAACAATCCCTCTTAAGCTAGTTGTGAAACCAACCAGCAGCACATAATATGTGAACTGCATTCAACAACTTTCAGGCTTTCGGCATGTTTGACGCTTTGTCTGATACCTAGTTCAATAAAAAAAACTTATTTCTAATATTCTGATGAATACATTTACTTACAGCAATGATTTGCACTTCAGGGTTTCAAAGCATATATGTGTAAGTCCAATGTTATATCAAGAAAATATATCGTAATATAAACGTAGGAACCATTTTGGTACTTGTCCGACCATTATCATTAGTTATTGCCACATCTTTTGGTGCTGATGTTAGTTGTCGTTAGGCTTTTTCAAGACAGATATTAAATATCTTATTTCAAACGTTTGGAGATAAAAAAAAAGTTCTTGATCGTAATTCATGTTTCGTACGGATGATTTTGTTAATAATTAAGAAATCTTCAAATCCTTAATAGAAACAAAAGTAAAAAATAGTATGATGTATTTTTTCTGTATTACCTTCATTTTTAATTGTTGAGAGTGGAAGCTGGTCTCTGCAACACATAAAGGTTATGTGTTGTCCCTGTCACTCTTTAAGTTTTACAGAATTGATTGAATTCTGATTTCGAAAAACCATGGATATAATATGTTGATTGGATCCCATAATTCATATAGTGTTCGTTATTTGATGCACTGCCGGCAAATGTTTTTTCATATTTACTTTGCGATTTACATCACCACAAGACTGCATTCTACTTTGAAAAAAATGTTAAAAAACAATAACTAATCGTTGGTAATTAGAAAAAACATGACACATCCAATATGGTGACGTAGAGATCAGCTATAATCATATGAATGTTTATGTTTATCAGTATCGATAGATCTATCGATACTGATAAAAATAAACATTCTTATTATTGGAGCTGATCTCTGGGTCACCATATTGGATGTGTGATGTTTTTTTATAATTTCTAACGATTACTCATTGCTTTGATTGTATTTTTTTTTATTTTCTTCCAACAGAGGATAGAGTGTCTACCCTCTGTTGGAAGAAAATAAAAAAAATACAATCAAAGCAATGAGTAATCGTTGGAAATGAGAAAAAAATGATACACATGAAACGATGAGCGAAGCCTTACCTTCAATAGTTTGAATATTCTTCATTTTTTTGGAAATACTTCGTTTTTGTCTTGACAGAATAGAATCGGCAAACGACATACGAATAATATTTTATCTAAAGTATTGAAGAAAAATGTCTGCAGAATAAGAATATGCCCTACTGGTTAGCTATGATAAAGCGAGTGAGATAGGATTGCGTCAATAGGTTTTTTTTCTGTTGGAAGATAGTAAAATGAAATATACAATTAAAGCATTGAATAATCAATGAAAAGTG